CCCGCGCTCTTTCGTTAGCCGTTCTGGCTTGCTTCAGAGTATACGCATCTTTTTTGAAACTTCTAATGCCAAGATGCCAGCATTGATTTGCAGCCTCTGGAAGCTCAGAAATGCTGCTATTTACTGCTGCTATTTACAGTATTTCCAGTGTCTGAAAGCGCAGAAATGCTGGTATTTACAGCATCTGCAGCCTCTGGAAACTCAGAAATGCTGCGGGGTACAGTATTTCTAGCCTCTGAAAGAACTGCTGCTATATACAGTATCTGCAGCCTCTCTAGAAACTCAGAAATGCTGTTGTTTTCAGTAATTCCCGCATAGCTGCTGTGTTTTTTCGGTAGTTAGAGCTTGCGAACGGCCAGAAATGCTGCATTTCTGAGCGTTTACAGCCTCCGCTCCGCTTGCGCCAGGCCTTCGAAGCCTTCAGTAAATTGTTTTTTGATCCCGAACAAGTTTTTTTGATCCGCCTATAGATAAATTTTTTTTTGATCCCAAATAATTTTTTTTGGTCCCCTACCCATCTATTCTCGTAGGGTTTGAGCCCAAACTCAAGCCAATTCAACTCTTAAAGGGGCTCAGGGCCCGCGGCCCATGGGACAGGGGGCTCAGGGAGGCAGATCAGGGCAGCAGAGGCGGCCAATGGCTCAGGGGGGCCCAGGGTTGTTCAGGGATTTGAGCCGCCTCTATTCCCTGGACGCGCTGCGGCGAGGGTCCGGGTCCTCCTGGCCTGGGGGCCCCCCCGAAAAGGCAGCCAAAACATGTAGGGTAATTACTTTTTTATAAGGGACCAGTACGGGTCCCGAGGAGAACGTGTTCCGGTACGGGGCCCATCGTAGGCACTACCGACCCCCAGGCAGTGGGAGGTAGGCGAGCGACCTGGGTCGGCTTTCGCCATCGAGGTCGAAGGGCTTACGCCGCCCCCCAACGTAGGGGGGCGGCCAAGGCCCTAAGTTTAGGGTTAGGGGCTCCGGGGCCCCCTGGCTTTTTCCCTCGAACTTTTGGAGGCTTTGTCAGTGAAGCTTCTCCACCAAAAAACCGAAACCTTAAACCTCAAGAGGCTCTTGTCAAGGAATGCTGTGAAGGGTCGTTGACGCGGGTTTTAAATCACCAAGCCCCCCCAGATACAAGGCCGGGAAACATGGGTTTCCTGAGTCTAGAACACCTCGGAACCTACGACAGTCCCTCAAACCAACCCTGAGCATCTCCTTCCCTAAATCCTAAACTCCAACCCTAGATCGTTGGAATTCAGAAGCCCCTAAACTGCCAAATCCCTAAACCCACAAACCCTACACTCTCAACTCTTGAATTTTATACACCCCCAAGTTCACCCTGGGCCCTACAGTAAACCCCAAAAAGTTGGAAACCTTTTTGAGGACAAATAGTGCTGGGATTCCCTATACTTTACTCTACTATACCCCACTGACAACTCGAAGGAGCTGTCGGGGTAGCCACGGATTGCGCTTTCGCCCGGCTGTCTGATGTGCAGCTCGACGCAACGGAGTGGGGGTTTAGGGTTAAGGCTTTAGGGTTTAGGGTTAGGATTCAGGGTTGAGGTTTGTTCTTTCTGGGCTAGGGTTTCTGCTGTAGCATATTCCTTACTGTTGGGCTACGGCAAACCCACACATCCTGTAAAAAGGTGTTCAGACGATAGTGGGTCCGGGTGGGTGCACCTCAGCACATGAGCAGTTCTCTTAAGTTATGGTCCAAAAACCCTAAACCCTAAGCCCCAAACCCCAAACCATTAAACTACCCCGTAGTCTAGAATACCGTAACCGAGACTCTGATTTAGGGAAGGCGCTTTGAGCTCTGGGCCGGTAGAGCTTTGGGCTGTCGAGGGGGTTTCAAGGATTTGAGCTTTGGCTTCTTTTTTGTTTTTTTTTTTTTGGGGGGGGGGGTGGGTCCCCAATGACCCATGATTTGGTGGCTTTAAAATTGTGGGGAAGAAACCGAAAACCCTAAACCCCCTACACCCTGAACCCTAAACCCTGTAAACCTTGAATCCCAAACCCCCCTTAGCTGCAGGCTGGAGTCCCGCGTCTCTGCGACGCTTCGGATCCTGGGTTGCCGTTCAAGGATTTAGGGATCCTCCCTAGACCATTTTAGGGCTTAGGGTTTAGGGTCTAGGGCTTAGGGCTTAGGGCTTAGGGCTTAGGGCTTAGGGCTTAGGGCTTGGGGCTTGGGGCTTGGGGCTTGGGGCTTAGGGTTTGGGGCAGCGTTTTAGGGTTTTATGAGACCATAGGGTGCATTTGACTTGATGAGAAGGGGTTCCAGATGCGCAGTCGTGGTTCGGGATGTGCGTTGTGTAGACCTTGGGCGCAGGGTATTTTGGGTACAGGGTGTCGTTAGGGCGGTTGGGGCTTGAGGTCGATTTCGTGTTGCGCATAGGATGGGAGAGGTGGGTTTCTTTTTGCGTGGCGTTGCCGTGAGTATTGGTGCCCAGTTTCGATGTCACATCGGGGACCCTAAGCCTTAAAGCCTAAACCCTCTCTGCTCAAGGCCGTAA